CTTTTCACCATCACGCGCGCTAACCAATCAGATTGCTTCAAACGATCGCATTTATACTACGCTCGGCGATAGCCCGCGTCTACACCATTACGCGCGCTAGCCAATCAATTCTTGCTCCTCACTTTCGAGTTTGGCTCCGCCCCACCGACCAGCGTATAAAAAGGAGCGACTCCAAAGCCGAGTTATTCAGTTCGATTCAGTTCATCATCAGTCTACAAGCTAGCCACACCAAGCAGCATCAACCAGCAGGCTTCGTCGCCAGCGATCGGTCTTCGGAGACATCGGCAGGCTGCGCCAGGCACGACTGCCTCGGCTCTCCGGCGCTCTCACACCCGACTCACTGGGGCACCGTGCCTGGACTCGCCGGTGGTTGTGTTACGGTCCAACTCACTGGGCTTCTGGCGTAGCCACTGCCTCATGGCTCCTACGACCGCGCTCAACGACTAGCCTTTTCACCAGCCATTCACCGTAACTAGCCTTTCTCCTTACCGGCGCGCGCCGCCCTACCTCACCGGTCAAGCATCTCAGCCACCACGGTCCTTTTCAGGGCCAACAAACTGTTCCGAAGAAGTGGGTTGTCATCGGAGTAATGACAAGACTACACATGCTGACAAGAGCCCCACAAGTAAAATAAAAAAAATTATTGTATGCAACAAATTTAATGTGAACTATATGGAGAATACCTGCAAGAAAACTAAAATTGAAGATACTCTCAACTCCTATAATCTTACAAGTATTATTACATTTCCTACCAGAGTTGGACCAACTTCATCTACAACTATTGATAATACATTTATTGATGAACAACAGTTAAACGATTATGAAGTGTTTCCAGTACATAATGGATTATCAGATCATGAAGCACAACTGCTAATTTCACAATTTCCATTACTTTGCACCACAAAGAAGGAAATACTAGATAGAAGAATTATAAATGATTATAATATGATAGAGTTTAAAATGAAATTAAGTAATGAAAAATGGGAACCAATTTATAATACTAATGATACTAACATTAGCTTTAATCAATTTTTAAATATACTCTTGAGGTATTTTTATGAATCGTTTCCAATAACAAAAAGACAAAGACATAAACAGAAAACATGGATTACCACTGGCATAAAAATTTCTTGCAGAAACAAAAGGGTATTGTATGCAGAAGCAAAAAAAAAGTAACAACCCTACAGTAGTCACCTATAATAAGAACTATTGTAAAATATTAACGAGAGTTATAACCTAGCCAAAAAGATGACATATGATAATCAAATAAAATATTCAAAAAATAAAACTAGAACTACATGGAAAATAATAAATAGTGAAGTACTAAAGTAAGGGAATAGAGAAAATATTCAAGCCTTAAACATCGAAGGCAAAAAGAATACTAATCCAAAAGCTACTGCAGAAACCTTCAATAAATACTTTAGTGATATAGCGGTCAACATACATACACACATAAAGGAAAATAATACAAATGATAAATTTAAAGCTACAAACTATATGACATATTTGTCTGATGCTTTTGAGAGTCCATTACCGAATATAAACACTACAAAAAGTATATATGACAAAATATGACCTATATAAGTCTTATCTATCAAATAGAAAACAAAGAACTACTATATTTTATGGGACAAATGGTAGTAAAGTAAATTCTCGATGGGCTGAAGTAACCAATGGTGTCCCACAAGGATCGATACTGGGACCACTATTGTTTATAATATATATAAATGACCTTCCCAAGATTTTGGAGACAAAATGTACTCCCATTCTATTTGCAGATGATGCAAGTTTTTTGATTGAGCAAACAAATCCAAATCAATTTGAATATATAATAAATGAGGTATATAGTGTAATGGATGATTGGTTTAAAAAAACTTATGTCACTTAATACAACAAAAACATATTACATAAATTTCACTACAAAAAAATAACGTGACAAGAGATATGGGAGACATAGGAGCTATTTTAACAAGTATGACTCACATAAAATTTCTTGGCTTAAATATCCAAAATGAGATAACCTGGGATAGGCACATAGATGAGGTCATAAAGAAAATAAATACAGCTTGCTACATGATAAGAAACTTGAAACCAATGGCATCTACTAAAACTCTTAAAAGTGTTTATTACTCATATTTTCACTCTATCATGACATACGGATTAGTGTTTTGGGGTAATTCGTCACATGCCGAAAGAATATTTAAGATACAAAAGAGAGCTATCAGAATAATAAACGGAGGTAGTTAGAGAGAATCATGCAGAGAACACTTTAGAAACACGAATATACTTCCATTAAGATCACAGTATATATACTCCCTGTTAACATTTGTAGTAAAAAACTGGGAAATGTTTGATATAAACAGGGATTATTATGAAATAAACACCAGGCATAATATGGATATGCATATGAACCAGGTAAACTTGATGAAATATGGCGACGGAGTATTTCACATGGCTGTGAGGATGTACAATGCACTGCCCATTGAAATTAAAACAACCTTTAATAATATAAATAATTTTAAACATAACTTAAGGACTTTTTGTATACTAATTCATTTTATACATTGAATGAATTTTTATTAAGAGATAATCATTGTATAAATGCATAAGTATATGAGATGCTGAGTAGAATATTTAATGACTTTAATAACTAGAATACAATTATAATTATTTTAGTAGAATAATATATGATGTATTTATTTTATATATTATATTTTTTAAAAAAACAAGTATACAAATATAATATATTTAGTAGAATGTATATGATGAATTCATTTTATATCAAAGAACTGTATGATCAATATTCTTTATGTAAAAATCTCATCTTGAATTTTATTGAAATTTTAATGTTTAAATATAAGAGAATAACTTTACTATGATGTGAACAATTTTTGTTATAAATTATACATAGATATCATTAGACAATTGCTTGATTGTATTAGCAAGATAATTTGACACAATTCTGTATCTAGGCTTCGGCCTCAAATGGACGTGATGGAACAAGAAATTAAAGTTAAAGTTAAAGTTACACTACCACAAGCATACTCATACAATGATGAATGCATATGACACTAGCATCAGGGGAGAGCATATAATAATAGATGGAGAAATTGCTGTCAATATGTAAATAAACATGCATAAGAAACAAAAGCACATAATGCATAAACAAATATCAGCTGACATTTGGCATTGGATATGATAAAGTGATTAATATGCAATTAGTGTATTCATGTAAATCATTAATGTGAAAATGTAATTACATTTCACTTTAATCATAACAAGCAGATTCTATTACTCCAAAGGAAGCTGATGACAGGTGATAAATGACGATGGATGATGGCAGAATGGATTTCTATAGCTTTAAGGTGACCTCCAACTATGGTGGGATCTTGTAACTATAAAGCTTATAATTTAAAACACATGTAAGAGGTCTTAAACAAACACAGAGTAGTGAATGGTGTTACAATGCAATCTAAATTCAACTGATTCACCTGTTGTAACAGTGGTAGGATAGCTGATTTGTAAAAATTACTTCTTACAATCTAAAAATATACCTGATCGAATAGATTCTCATAATTGATGTAAAACGTGGGCTGAGAGAGTGACGTCCCATTGCATTTCCTCCTGTCATGCTACCCACAATCTGAACTCCTTCCAGGCCCACCCATTCCAGATTCTTGTCATAGAAACCATTGTAAGTGATCACCTACCAATTGTAACAAAAATTGGTTATGTACACATATCCTAACAACTACCATTTGCATGATTTGGTCATATCAGGCAACATAAAAATATGAACAACTTTCAGCCATTGTTAAATTTAAGATATGGAAATTTATTCCATATTTCAGTCTCATTAACAGAGGAACTGAATTTAAGTCCTACACAGACAAAGATTCCTCAGTTATATACAGATATACAGTCATACTCTCCAGCCATTGGCTGTAATTAAAGTATCTGATCGCAGCTAAATTTACAATTACTCATCTTGTTGCAAGGCAAACATCAATCACTCAAAATCCTAAACTTCACAGTTAATTTAAGAAATACTACATATAGAATTCTAATTCAAAGCCTGCCTTTAAACACTAACACAAGAAAATAGCATACCCTAATACCTCTGGAGTTAATAAAAGAGAGAATGATCATAATAAAATACTAACTTATCATGACATATGAAGCAAGCAATGAATTAAAAAAAATTAAATGTAGTGAACAGTAGGCTTCTTTCACTGTTAGGACAATTATGAAGAAGATACTTGATTCACACTTGTGAAATGACTTGGTAACTTGAAATACAGTTAATTATATTTTCTGTATAAAGAAATCACTCTGCTATACCTGCTGAAGGAAGGCAATGAGCATGCTGGTCCCCCATTTATCAGGTCTAGCAAGGTTCAAGTCTTTGAAGTACAGGATCAGATGTTCACCATTCTTTGGACGGTACACACGACCTGTGTTGCTTGAGATTACCATGCACACCTGCAACAAACAAACATACAGTCTCTTAATGTACTGGTTCACTCCAGGTATGTTTCTGGTTGGGCAGCATAAATGATGTAATGGGGCATACTACAAATGTAACCAATAATAAATTATTTATTCAACAAAATAAATTTCAAACTGTACATTTATTCTGGTTCATTACGAACAAGTTTACTAAATGCAAATTAAAAAAAAAACTACAGAAATATTGTGGCATATAGACCCGTTGATAGGCAACAGCTGTGAAACAAACACTGAGACAACAGCCATTGCTTGGCAGCAGCCAGCATACCTATGGACTGGCTTGGAAAGCAGTGTTTTCTGCAAGGTCTGTGCCAATAGCTGCTCATGCAACACTGGACAAAACAAGCAGTGGTGTTTTCTACGTGATCCGTGCAAAGAGGTTACTAGTGGGATACAGTTTAGAGCTTAGTACAGTTGTGGGATATTTGCAAGATGGTAAGGACATAAGCAGAGGCCACTGCTGAGATCCATTAGCAGGAAATGACTAGTGAAGTCACAGAAGACTTCGTGCTGCAGTGACAGTGATTTTTAGAGTGTGTAAACCAATGAGGTTGTTATAGTTACTTGTAGTTATGAGTTGTGTGTATAAGTGTTCAATAAATCCAGTCAACAATCCAAACCTTATTTACAGTCACTCATACACATGACAATATATTTGTATGGATTATTTCAATCTTCATGTTTTAGTTTTAAGTATCAAGACTTAATCTCATAACTGACATTTATTTTATATTTAATTTGTATTTCGATTGAATTTGTATAGAGAGTTCGTCGTCGTCATCTGTGTCAATCGTCACTGACTAAGAAGGAGTCAATGGTATGCCTCTAACACATTTATGAAAGATGATGACAGAAACTGGGAGATGAAACCTATTAATTCTTTTCCTGTGAATGAGTAACAGTTTATTTATAATTTTGAATGTGTTAAATTGGAAATTTATGATCCACAAGTACACTGTTTTAATGAAAAATTTAATTCACATGTCAAATTTTAGCAATGTCCATGAAGGTTTATGAGTGATACAAATGCCTAAATTCCAGTGGTTTACAAGACTGATAACTGGATAAATTCCAATATGTAGCACTTAAGCTTAATGAATGGACAGAGCCTGAATAAGGACATGAAAATTATTTACATGACTACCCTTGTGGAAGGGTTGCATGCAGTAGCTTAGTTGCTTGAGGCACTATGGTACAAGCTGGAAAGTAGTGGATTCAAGTCCCGATGAGGTCAGTGATTTTTTCAATTGACCTAATCCTTCCGGCTGCACTTTAGCCCTGGGGTCAACTCAGCCGCTAACAGAAATGGGTACCAAGAATGTTCTTGGAATATTCTTGGGGGTAAAAGGTAGCCAACTAGTAGGGCTGCCACCCATGAGCCAATTTTCTAGAAAATGTGGGAATCTCAACATCTCACAACCCTATGGGCCTCCACAGCCTGTTACAGGGATACCTTTACTTTTACCCTTGTGGAAGAATTCCCTTCTTCATCACATGCAAGGGTGCCATACAGGGCATTCTGTATGTCCCAATACATTTCCATTACTATGAGTTCTCTATTCTGGAATATAATGCTCTGTAGTCCATTGCAAGTCAACAAACATTTCAGAGCTCTACTTGCTATGTGCTTCATGCTGGTTTCTTGATTGGCTTATTCTTCAATAGTGAAGATGGAGGTGATATGTTCCTCCAAAACACTGACTGACTTTCAATGGAGCACTCAGTGCTATATTCCAGAAGATACAACTTTTCGTAAATACTGTTGTGAGACACTCAAACCCTACATTTCCATTATTTACCACTTCTTACATACCTGACTCAGTTTCTGAAGAACATGCTGTGGAGTGATCTGAGCACTGCAGTGAATGGTTGCGATCTCTGTTGCTCTCAGCTTGCGAAACCAGTGATTCAGGAGCATACTGGAACATTAGCAGATTATGCTGCCATAATGTGTCTCATACTGTGACATTCTTAAATTGCACAGAGATTGCGAAGTCACTGAATCTTTTGTCATTCTAAGTGTTCATGTGTGATTTTAATGTGTACTAGTCTTTGACCTCATTTACAGGCTGATATATAGCCTGAGTTATTTTTGACTACTTTTCAATTGTGTTTGTTTTGATTTTATTCATTCTGCAGGTGTCCCAGTAATTCATTTGTCCAGACTCCTTTACAATCTGACATTATGTACAGTATTACCTATCCTAAACAATTTTTCTTTCACGTTGCGATTTTAGTTCTTGTTATTGTGAGACCTCATCTCCAGGTCAATATGCAGCCTGTGGTACTGTTTAACTCTCTTATAGCTGTTTCTACTCTGTTTCCTCCAATTTACAGTTTTACCAAGAATTGATCCATCACCCCATATAGTTTACATATAATTCACATTGTCATGAGTATGAGTGACTATAGATAGTATTTGAATTGGTAATTCGATTTATTGAACACTTACGGATCATAACTATAAGTAACTATAGTGCTGTCACTAATTCACACACTTTAGAATACACTACAGCACACTACGTCTTCTCAGTCTGCTGTATCTTCATTGGTTGTTGCCTGGTAATAGCTTCCAATACCATAGCTTCATCAGCTTCCATGTTCACATCCTTACTGGCTGGTGATGGTCTCACAACTAACTAAACTCTACGCTTATCCTGCTTATAACACCTTGGCAAAGACCACACAAAAAAGCAAATCTTCTATTGCTGCAGCACATAGCTGTCACACAGACTGCATAAAGCACACTGCTTCCAGCAGCCCTCCTATTGTTGCATGATGTTGCTGCAGATGTGACATGTTCCTCTGTTGTGTAAACAATCACTGTTACACTAATAAGTTGTTTACTGTGTCATAACCTAGTAACAGCTCTACATGCTACAATATAAATAACATTAACAACATCAAACGAAACTGAATGGGACATCTACATTATTCCATTCACTTCCATTTTATGGTGTTGCATTATTTATATTATTTGAAATTCATTGGCAGTGAATTCTATTTAAGGTGGCAGTTTAAGATAGTGTCAATGGTTGTATAACAGGAGATGGTAAATCTTATCAGAAATGTGTTCAGTAGTCCATGGGATTTGTACTGTTTCAGGAGGTCTCTTCATCTGTTCATTCAAGTTGATGTTTATTTGCTTGTTTGTAACTTATTTAACAAAGCCATTAATAATTCAAACTATGGAGCATTTAATACTGGTGTTAAGAGACACAAAAGAAGATACTCCCACCAAGTTAAGTTTTGAAATGGAACTTGGCAGACTATTTCTTGTTCACACAGAAGATTAAATGTCAGACTAAATCTATCTCTAACAACCCTAACAATAATCCTTTAAGTATGGTGGCATATTTGCTCAAAGCAAAAACTGTGGAGCCAGAGAAACAGCTGTTGCTAGTGAATGGCAATGAAACGTTTGTTTCTAGGCAATGGTTCATTAAACATGTTCCCGCAGCAAGGGATATGTGTGCAACAACAGAGGTCCTGCTGGGAATGCTGTTTACTATTCAGTCTGTGCAAAGGTGTTATTAAGGAAGACAATTGGGGCAACCAAGTCAGTTCTGCATGGGAGTCTATGAAGAAAAGAGATAGTAGGAAGGGAGCCACTATTCAGAAGCTGAAGAATCTCCACTGTTAGAAGCCATTACCAGAGAACAGCTGGTGAAAACACAGAAGGCTGGTAAAAACTTTGTGTGTGCTGTGGTGATCTGTAAAGTGTTAAGATTAGCAGTGATACTGTAATTACTTGTAGTTATAAGTCGTGTTGTAAAGTGGTCAATAAATCCAATATCCAATCCAAAATCCCATCTAGAGTCACCCTTCACATGTAAGTATTTACTACTACAGCATTTATTGCATCACACCTTTTTCCACAACCTTGTGGCCCTACTAATAGGAATGGGTGTCGAGTCTCTTCATGTAGCCAAGGTCTAATAACATCCAGTGTTTGTTTGACATCTGCAGTCATGATGAGAGGAAGAGAAATGTTGGCTGCTCCAAGCTGGAATTGTGTGTTTTCATGGTCCACTGTATATGTGTCCAGACCATCACGCTGTGGGTTGTAATAACAGTACAGCAGTCGAGCAGGGTCAGGGATGTACTCGCCTGTCCACTCAAAAACCTAATATGACAAGAAAAGATTGGAAGTTACAGTCTCCTCTTATAAAACTGTTCGGTGGTTTTTTCCTTTCAAAAAATGTCTCTTAAGCAGGAAAGAGATGAGCATGATAAAAATGGAGAAAACCAAAATAAACTTTGCAGAACTGATATAAAAAGCAACATAAGAAATGTATACAAAATAACAAATTAAACTGATATAATACTTTTACATCAAACAATAAATGAAATGGGATTACATTAAACAAGTACCATATAGAGAATAAATTCACAGTGTGTCATAATTAGCTGTATGCTAGAAAGTCGTAGACATCAATGATAATTGAATTTATTTTCCCACAGTGTAATCTCACTGTGTTAATAAATCTACTTTGTCTCTTACCATATAAATGTTTGCAGTTTCCATGCTATTGGACATACTGGACTTGAGACTGTAAATACATAAACATAGCATATATAAATAACTACCTGTTTGGCAAATGCCTCTCTGTTGGGAAGAGTCAGATTTCCACCAAGTCCTCTGATCAAAGCCACTGTGAACTGAGCCCTGCTGGTCACTCCAAGCAACTGAGACAGTCCATTCTGAACTACACCAACCAGTGATGTGCCCACCACCATCTCTCCATGTTGAACCACCCAGTTAATTCCTATTGGGAGAAACAAGCAAATGCATATTACCAATCACTGTCATTTCAAAATAAGAGAAGAGTCATTTGAAAGAACAAGCAGTTTTCCACCTCCTCACATAATTCTGTCTTGTCTGGGTAAATTATCTTTCTATCTGTATTCAAATATCAGTTAGCTAAAATTTTAAGCAGAAGATCTATATCCAAGATACAAAAGAAAATATTCATTTTAAATGACATATGCATATAGAACTTATAATTTTGAATTAATAGACCATATGTAAAAGTTGCCGGTCATGGTAACCGAGCAGTCTAAGGCACGCACTGTCTTTGCTTGCTCGGAAGCTGGGATCATGGGTTCAAATCCCACTCAGGGCATGGATGTTTAGTGTGTGTGTGTGTGTGTGTGTGTGTGTGTGTGTGTGTGTGTGCGTGTGTGCATGCGCGCGCATGCGTGCACATATGCATGGACATTTTCCTGTTTTTGTGCACAAGTACTCATATCTGCAGTTCTCTCAACTGGTGTCTTCCCCTCTCAGCTAAAATATTCTGAAATAATACCACTATTTAAAAATGGGGACAGAACTACTATGACTAATTACAGACCTATATCATTACTATCATCCTTTTCAAAAGTTGTGGAGAAGGTTATATATACGAAGGGGGACCCAAAAATAACCGGAACCGACCTGTTGCGCGCGCATGCTTTGTAGTTACGAGTTGTGCTGCTAGGTGGTGTTAGCTGGGGGTCTCCCGCGACTGTTAGTGAGCTGGCATCAGTCTGAGTTAAGTGGTTTGTCTGTGGTGCTCTGTTGTGTGCGTTCCTGTTTCAACCCTTTGGCGATTAGTGAGAT